AGCGCGTTGAACTTTAGCGAGATCTCCACCCGGCACGACAGTCGGCGGTTGGTAGTTTATGCCGACCTTGAAACCGGTGGGACACCAGTCGACAAACTGAATTGTCTTCTTCATTTTTATACTGCTGATGGCACTGTTCACATCCTTCGGGGCTACGTCCCCTCGATAGAGCATACAACAGGCCATGTACTTTCCATGACGAGGATCACATTTAACCATTTGGTTTGCGGGTTCAAAGCAGCTATTGCTGATCTCACTCACCGACAGTTGTTCGTGGTATGCCTTCTCAGCAGAGATGGTGGGTGCATAGGTGGCCAGAGGAAAATGGATTCGTGGGTAGGGCACTAAATTCGTCTGGAATTCAATCAGGTCAACGTTGAGCGCCCCATCAAAACGGAGTGATGCGGTAACAGAACTCACGACCTGAGCTATTAGGCGATTGAGGTTGGTATACGTTGGCCGCTCGATATCAAGGCTACGCCTATAAAAAAAGAAAAACACTGAACGATAGAGATAGGCCATAATAGATACGGTAAATATAAAATAAAATTCAACAAATAAAACATACATATGTTATCAATGGTGGATGGAGGCTCACCAATTCCCCTATGAACATATTCGTCTCCTTTGGCCTTGAGGCCCACTCTCAAGCCCCGTCAGAAGACACACGGCTGCTACTATTACAGGCAGGTAGAAATTACCGAGGACGACAGGAGAGACCAAGAATGCCATTTCTGGTTTCCTAATCTTCATCTGCCAGGCATACGCAATCCCAGTTGACGCATCACACCAGGTTTGAACCCGCGACCTAGGGTCGGTTATGGTTGGATGCTGATGACCAATAAACTAGAAATGGTCATCATGGTCTACCTCTTCTTTGTCAGTCATGTATTCCTGTCTTAAAGAGGCTAGCCATTAGGCGGCTGTTGGCGGGGCTCGAGTACGAGCCCCAAGACAAAACGGGATGAGTGAGCTTCGTAACCGATCGGTGAGTGCCTACACACCATTATGTATACTCCTGATCGGAACCGACAAGGCAAAGAGCCTATGGCGCAGTGGTAACAGCGTTGGACTTTTAGCCAACAAAGTCGCAAGTTGAGCTTCGGGGTTCGCTACCCCCTGGGGTTGGTTATAGCCGGTTAATGACGGCTTTTATGTCAGAAATGGTCGGTCCACTCTCCCTTCCCTTTGTCGGTCATGCACTTCTGCCTTTATACATATACATAAAGTGGACATTTATCAAGGTAAACAGTTCCAATCTTTTATCGTTAACACTCTTCTTAAGACTGGCAAACCAGTTTTTTAACATGGAACAGCTCAAGGATTGTCTTAATGAAAGTCATCTAAACGGCCAAATACTGTTTGAAAGTATGACCAACAGCGATCCGATGCGCTATCCTAGTGCATATTTGGCAAAATGAGGAAGAATACCAAGGATGAAAACAAGATAACTTCAGGCAATATAGCCCATCCAATATAACTGTAAGCTTGAGGGGTATCATAGAAGACGTAGATGGTATGTACTATATCACTTTTATACTTCCACTAAACTCAGCTGGAAGGAAATGGATAAAAACGAGTCGTATTGTTCTTTTTTGTATCATCTTTCATCGTTAATATCATTGCCACATTTATATTATACTTTAGACATGGCACTCAGTGACGAGAAGTCGAGGTATGCTTTAGACCGGTTTGCATTTTAAGCAATAGACTAACCGTCAGACCTTTAAAAATGGTATTTTTAGAAAACTAACGCACCTGACTCCACTGACATTTTCACGAACACTGATCGCTAGATTCAAAAGACGGCCCCAAGTAGGTTTGAAAAGCCCATTTATGACTGTAAGTCTGCTGCTTGTTCGGTGTTAAATCAGCATGGAGACTGGCAAAAGTGTGTGTCTCAACGATACTGTTACCAGTGCAAACAACACATAGACACTCTCGTACTGTGCTGCTTGAGCTAATCTTAACTACCTACTTGGCATTCCAAGTCCCTGTCATTTTCACTAAATCATTAAAATTGAAACTCTATGTCACTTAAAAATCGAATAAAGGCCGGCGAACAAAGTGCCTGTACATCTTAGCGATCAGGTGAGCGTTCAGCATGTGCTTATACGTAAAGCATAACCGACCGTTAATCTGTATATGGTACTGAACACTTTGAAAAAGGTGTGATGTTGTGGTGAGAAATCGGAGGATACCAAACAACAGTTTTAGCTGTTAGTCGTTTGCTAGAGAGTTGAGCCTACGAAACAGAGAAAGCCATCCTTAGTCTCCTTACCGACATACATCGTAGATGGCTTCATTGTCAAACATGAAGCAACAGTCTGAATGTTCCAGTGTACAGTGAGTGCAGAGAATGGAGTTATACGGCTCAACAACGGCAGTAGAGACTTGCGGAGCGGGGTAGATGGCAAATTCCAACTTGGACTTCTTGCCGTAGTCTACGCTGACGCGCTCCATCAGCAGGGAAGTGAAGCCAGAGCCGGTCCCACCTCCAAATGAGTGGAAGAAGAAGAATCCCTGCAAACCATTGCAATTATCGGCCAGCTTACGGATGCGGTCAAGAATGAGGTCAATCATCTCCTTGCCGATCGTGTAGTGGCCACGGCCGTAGTTATTAGCAGCGTCCTCTTTGCCAGTTATTAGTTGTTCTGGGTGAAACAGTTGACGATAGGTGCCCGTCCGAACCTCATCTAGAGGA